CGGTAAGTAAAGGCATGTCATTCTTTGCAGGCATGGTATTTCACTGCCCACCCCCTGCCCTCTCAGATTCCCTCTCCCAGGGACTTTAAACACTCGGTTGGCCCTGTACATGCTTAGTCCTCATTGAGCTTTTGGGGAAGGTTGCCCCCCCCCCTTAAGTATTTTTTAAAGTGTTTTTTTTGTAATTTTGCAAATGTCACGAGTTCCTCTGAGGTTGCTACATTAATACAACACTTTTGCTTTCTGTGGTGGTGTCTCAGCTGCAATCCTGTTGGTGCTCACTGCCAGTATTTGCAGGAGATGTAATTGTATGAAATGAGGCTGGAGGTCCAGGGAAGATGAAAATATGTAAAAAATAAAATAAAAATGGAAATCCATCAAAGTTCTGCTGAAGTCTACTTAACAAAGTTTGAATCTCCCATTTGCACTCAGTTTTCAGCCAATTCACCTTGTCTCAGGAACCAGCTCAGATAAAGAGGTCACAGAGCACTTAGGAGACTCTGCAGTGCTGTGCTGTGCTGTCATAGCTCTATTAAGCCATGGAAGAAGTTGATGTTCCAGCTTTTTATCTGCTGCCTTTAAAACATGTTTCTCTAAACATTGCATCCTTTAATTTTTTAATAACCAGCATATTATCAGCGTGAGGTACAGTACTCTTGTTGACATTGTTGTTGACATTGGGCCTAATCTGCCTTGCAAGGTGTTTGTGCTGATTAAATGTCACAGGAAAGAGCACTAAGTATGTTGCCTTGAGCTCCTAGAAGGAAAGGCTGTACAGTACATGATTGTGAAAATGAATAATATAGCTGACCTGCAATGCCCACTTTGCAACCCTGGTTGTTTCTTTTAATGTATTTTTATTAAAGATTTCTTGGTTGTTCAGGCTGCTTCTGAGGTAAATTTCCACCCACCCACTCCCTGGTTACACTATGGCAGCTCTGGGGTTTTTTGCAGCCTGCTAACTGAACAAATAGGTACATATTAAAAATAATTGTTTTACAGAAGAATGATGTTTTCGGGGGTTTTTTTAAATAAAATTGTAACCACCACTTCCGCCTCCAGCCTTTTGATTTTAGAACTCTGCTTTTCTCTTCTTCCAAACATCCTAATTACATAATTACAAGATTTAAATAGGTAGAGGAAGGAAAAAGGAAAGAGGAGTAGGAAGGAGATACAATGGGGGCCTGTCAAATTCACAGCTAGACTCTCACATCTCCCTGAATATTAACCTTTCCCTTAGAATCATAACTGCAGAGGAAAAAAGAAAAGAAAACAAGACTTCTGCCTTCACTGGATCTGTTCCCCTGGTGCCCATTTTGGATTTCGTAACCTTCTGGGGTTCAGGTGTTTTCTGTTGCTACCAGGTAAAGACAAGTAGTGACAAGTCGTGAGGTGTTTATACTGGCTTTTAGCAAACATCACCCCAGAGGATCTTAGGACAGCACACAGTGTTATACTATGTTCTCCTCACAACAACCTGGTTGGGTAGGTCAGACAAGAAGGAAGTGACTTATTCATTGCCAGCCAGAAGCAATTTAAATGTAGATATCTCTGGCCAGCATCCAACCCCTTCAGCCCAGTGCCTAAGTACTCTTGAGACCAAATCCCACTCCTCACAGTATTTATTTATTACATTTATATTCCATCTTCCAAGGATCTCAAGGTGGTGTATTTGGTTCTCCTCCTCATTTCATCCTCTCATTTCAACCTGTGAGGTAGGTTAGGCTAGGAGATAGTGTCGGCCTCAAAGGCACCCAGGGAACTTCATGGCTGAGTGGGGATTCAAACCCTGGTCTCCTAGGTCTTAGTCCAACATTCTGACCATTTTGCCACACTGGCTTCCAGTAGCCATGGTATGATAAGGCCATAAGAGGATAAGAAAAGTCCTGCTGAATCAAAGGCCCATCTGGTGTAGCATCTTGTTCCTAACCATGGCCAACGTCTAGGCAGAAGATGAGGGCAATAGCCCTCTCCCAGTGTTGGTGGATTTATATTCCATGAATTTATTTGCCTAGTCCCCCTTTAAAGACTAATTTGGGTAGCCATCACTACACCCTGTGCTGTGTAAAGAAGTCTTTCATCTTGCCTGCCCTGGATCTTCTATTCATCTTCATCAGATAACCCTGGTTCCCTAAAACTCTGGTTACGCAAGAGTGAGGTAAAACCCTCTCCGTTCATTTTCTCCACATGTAATTTTAAAAAACTCAATCATGTCCCCTCCCCTTCACAGCTTTCATTTCTCCCACCATGTACCCCAGCATTCCTTGACATATAGAGATATATCAGGGGTCAGCAAACCTTTTCAGCAGGGGGCCGGTCCACTGTCCCTCAGACCTTGTGGGGGGCCGGACTATATTTTGGGGGAGGGAATGAACAAATTCCTATGCCCCACAAATAACCCAGAAATGCATTTTAAATAAAAGGGCACATTCTACTCATGTAAAACATACTGATTCCCGGGCAGTCTGCAGCCAGATTGAGAAGGTGATTGGGCCGGATCTGGCCCCCGGGCCTTAGTTTGCCTACCCATGGGATATATTATTTACCCATATCATAATCTTGCTAAAGTATTTAGCACATAAGCGGACAATGTAATATTCAATTGGTAAACCAGAGTTCCAACGAAAGGTGAACGGCAGGATCAAAGAGCAACCAAGTCCACATTGACTGATGAATCATTTGATAACAACATGAGACCCAGCACTATTCAACGGAGCATTTGGAAAGTATGCAATACGTGTACCAAAATCCAGGGTGGCTGTTCTGTGTTCTGGTATAACCACCACATTTTTGCCAAGAAGTATTGGTAGGCTGCATATTTTCAGTGTTCTAAGACTACATTAGAGATTCAGCCAAGATTGCATTACAGAGAGCTACAGTTCCCAGAGTGAATTTAACAATCAATCCCCCTTCCCAGGGAACTCTGGGAATTGTAGCCGTGTAAGGAAAAGGGTGTCCTAGCATCTCTCTGCACCTTTAATAAACCACAGTTCCCAGGATTCTTTGGGGGAAGCCATGAGAGTGTTGAAAGCAGTGCAATACTGCTTTAAATGTGCAGTGCAGGACCCCAGTCAAGCTAGCAAAAATTTATCACTTGCCCAATAATAAATGTTGGAAATGTAATGAGACTGAAGGTACCTTCTACCACCTTTGGTGGACCTGCCTGAAGATAAAAGCCTTTTGGGAAATGATCTATAATGAAATTAAGAAAGTTCTCAAAAGGACTTTTCCTAAGAAGCCAGAGGCTTTTCTCTTGGGTATGGTGGGCCAATTGGTGTCAAGGAAGGATAGGACGTTTTTTATGTACGCCACTACAGCAGCAAGGATCCTTTTAGCAAAGTATTGGAAGACACAAGAACTACCCACGCTGGAAGAATGGCAGACGAAGGTGATAGACTATATGGGACTGGCGGAGATGACTGGCAGAATCCGTGACCAGGCGAAAGAGACAGTGGAAGAGGACTGGAAGAAATTCAAGATATATCTTAAAAATTGTTGTAAAATTGAGGAATGTTAAGATGTCAGGGGAATGGGAAACAGAGAATTGCAGCTGTAATTAACAAGTTAAGGAAGAAATTAAAAGAACTGATTTGAATAATTAGCTAATTGGAGGAGTTGCTGAAGAAATTTAAAACAAGGATGTGGAAAAGGGGAGGTATGGGGAAGTCCAGGAAGCAAGGTGTATGAAAATAAGAGTATGGAATTATACATGTTTATATGTTTGTATGTTTGTGTATTGTGTATTGTCTATTGTTTGTTTTATTTTGTGTGTTGAAAACCAATAAAAATTTATATATAATAAATAAATAAATAAATGTGCAGTGCAGATGGGGCCTTCATCACAACTCACTTTAATTTGGTTGAAGCCCCTGTCACCTGCATAGACAAAGAGACAGGGCCTAAGAGCATACCCCCGGATTTCTCTAAAATGCACCTCCAGCATGCTGGGGTCCCTCAGTAAAGGTGTTGACTTGGAAAAGACTCCCTGGGGAGCGAATGACTGAAAGCTGCTGCTTTAAAAGGGGGGAGGGGGAATGTCAGTCAAGAGGCCAGATGTGGCTTACTGGATGTTCACGTCTGGCCCATGATCTGCCTGCCTTGCTTCTGCACACGTGCAGCACTTAGGCTTGGAAAGAGCCTCCCATTGGGGATTTTAAAATGGGTAAGTTGTGTTGATCTGTTGCAGCAAAGTGACTTGTGGCACCTTCATACCCTAATGCAGGGGTCAGCAAACTTTTTCAGCAGGGGGCCGGTCCACTGTTCCTTAGACCTTGTGGGGGGCTGGACTATATATTTAGGGGGGGGGATGATGCAAGAGCACCACGAGCCCTGGTGGCTGCTTACCTGTGTCTTGCGAACAGCAGGGGCTGGTGGCGGTGGGACGATGAGCGGTGCGCGAAAGGGCTCTGGAGAGGGGCTGCTTAAAATGGCGGCTGCTTGAGTGCTGCTGCTGCTGGCACCAACAAAGCCCAGTCCCCTTCCTCCTGTAGGCAGGGCAGGGAGAAGCCAGAAGGAGGGAGGGAGGAGACACCGCCGCCACTGACGTGTGAAGGAGAGGGAAAGAACGTGCGTGCTGGCGATCCACACGGTGATTCCGGACCATCCATGGGCCGGATCCAGAAGGCTATTAGGCCTGATCTGGCCCGTGGACCTCAGTTTACCTACCCATGCCCTAATGTGTTACGGTATCCGTTGCCATGGACAAGCGTTGTGGTTCCCAGACTTCCCCCAGGAATGTTTGCGGGAAGCCATGACTGTTTAAAGTGGCACCATAGTGCTTTAAAACTGTGGCGTGAATGTAGCCTAAGTGTCCTCCATGTCTGATCCAGCAATGATTCTTAAACCATCGTTGTTTATTTATCCTTGTACGCAGGCAGCTGCGCTAAAGATTTAAGCAAAAGATGGGAAATAATGGCATCAGAATGAGAGAAAGGAAATGCATGAAAATATGTGGGTCACTCCATTTTTATTAGTGGGGGAAGGAGCAGTTCTTTGAAAAATAATAGTAATAAAAACCACAACAACCTTTCCTATCCTTCCAGTACTTCGTAGATGAGGTTGTGCCTTGGCAGCTGTCGCAGCAAAGAGAATCCGCCTGTGTGGATCCTCATGGGAGCAGTCGTTCTCCTTCATAGGCTGGCGAACAGTCAACACGCGAGAGCCTCATAAAAACCCTCTGCTCTTTTTTTTGGAAGCAGCAATTATTTCCTTCCAGCGGCTCAGAGTTAAAATGGCCCGTGCAAAGTTCTGGCTGCTCACAGGGCTGCTGATGCAGGCCTTGTACGTGTTTGAGCCCACCCGAGGCGAGGAAGGCGACACAGCTGGGGAGGAGGGAGAAGAAGAGTGCCGGCTGCTTGGGAAGTTTGATCTGCGCGGCTACGTGAACGCGGAGGATGCCATGCACGTAATCGGAGGGATGTTTCCTATGCATTTCAGGACCATCCTGGAAGAAGATCCCACCAGCACGCCACCCAATTCGCCAAAATGTGAGGGGTAAGCTGCTTCCTCCTCTTCTCTAGTCCTCCAGAGAGTTTTTGCCGTATACAGAGTCAGAAGCGTCGGTCCATCAAGCTCAGAGTTGACTGGCAGGAACTCTGTAAGGTTCCACAAAGGGATTTTCTCCCAGCCCTAGCTGGGAGATGCTGGGGATGGAAGCTGGGACCACATGAAAAAGATGCTCTGCTATGGCATGGTAGCATTTCCCTTGCTTGAAAAAACAACTGTGGCAAGGCAAGGGTGTGTGTGTTGTTATTCATGGTGAGAGCTGGGCAAAGGCTTTCTCAATATCCTAAGCTGCGGGCAGACAATAAGTGCATCAGAGGACGAAAGGGGATACAGTATATAATATAGGTATCGATGCTCAGGTGTGTAGACATTTGCTTCTTTTGTCCTGCCGTCACCTCTGTTGGAAAGGGCCAGTGCTCAGAGGTAGAGCATCTTGTTTTGCATGCAGAAGGTTCCAGGTTCAATCCCCAGTCATCTCCAGGGAGGACTAGGAGAGATTTCCTGCCTAAAAACCTGGAGAGCTTATGCTAGATCAGGGTTTCTCAAATGGGTGTTTTTTGGACTACAACTCCGAACATCCCTAGCTAGCAGGACCAGTGGTCATGGATGATGGGAATGGTAGTCCACAGACAGCTGGAGACCCTGTGCTAGAGTCATTGGGCTGACGCATTGCAAAACAGCATCCCATCAGATATGGAAGGTATTTTGAAGTTATAAACTACGAGCAAAGGCCAGGTGTCAGGAGGCAGTTTGTTTGAATCGGTTTTCCTGCTTGGTTGGCAGCAGACCGAAGGGATGGCCACCCATCCTTTGCTTCAGTAAATACCAGCGAAGCAGAGCCCACCACCTCCCGAGGGAGACTGTTCCGCTGTCAAACACCTCTCTCCATTAGGATGTTGTTTTGCCATAACTTGCTTCCCTGCAGTTTCCACCCATTTGCTTTTAGTCTTGCCCTCTGGGGGCAGGAGAGAGGTGGGCTGAACTCATGGAGCAGAGCCCATCTTGACCGCCAAAGCATTGAGCCATCACTGCTGAGGACAGAGCCTACAGTGGAGTGAGGGTTCACACCATAAGCAGCAATGCTTCTCTCATGCTTCCTGGGATGAGGGTTATTGTTAAATAAAAATTGCTGGGTTGGATTTGCCATAGCACTAAGGATATGGCTCCATTAGCGCAAGCATTTATGCTTGCCTGATGAAGCAATCACCCCTCTCCTTCCTTGTGCACTGTTCTGGGGGTCATCCTGACCCTCTGGAGGAGCTTTGGGAGAGCATGCTGTTGTGCTCGTGTGCTCAGATCCTGCTTGCAGAATTCCCACAGGCATCTGGTTGGCCACTGTGGGAACAGGAAACTAGATTAGATGGGCCACTAGTCTGGTCCAGCCATCTCTTCTTCTTACGTGCTGGAGGGTCCTCAAATGGGTATTATTATTATTATTATTATTATTATTACTGCTGCAAGAGTGACCATGTCTTCACATAGCAGCAGGGATATCAGATGGTGCAGCAAGCATTCTCCAGAGGATATAGAACTAACAAGAAAGCAGATTCTGTCTGGACATTAGGAGAAGCTTCCTCTATGGTAGGCTGAGGCGCCGTGTTGTCCCCCAAGATTGAGGGGGACTGGCATGTGGCGGATGTGTGTGATGTCACACAAGCATCACATGCCGTGTGTCATGTGCAATTCTTGTCACTGTTGCCCTTTGGTATCTAGCACCCTCTCCCAATCCCCTCCCTCTGACCTCTCCTCAGTGTCTCACCACCAATCCCTGGGTTCTGAGCCTTCCTCCTCTGGGATTTCCCTTGGGGGTCCCTGGCTGGGGCCTCCCACCACTCCTCCTTGTCCAGCCAGTCCCTGACAATGAATTCATTTAGCTGGAGTCTGTCCCTGGAGTGGAATGAGGAGGTACAGTGCTGAGTGGGTAGAAAGGATTACACCACTTGAGTCTGCTGGTGGAGAAAAATAGGCATTTTGGAATGGCCCTCCCCAACCTTAAAGAACTCCATGCAAATTGTTCATTCATTTATTCATTCATTCATTCATTTATGTCATGCTTATATGACAAAATGGTTTCTATATGCCAAATAGAGCACTGAGACAGTGTAGGGAAAGCTGGAATGGAAACTTTCTCCCTGATGATTTCTAATTGGCAGGGAGTCTACCATCCATTCTGCCACATCAGCGTTTTCCCATCTCATTCAGATTTCATTCTGTCTGTTATTATATGCTAACAGCCCTGTGCATGGCGTTGCTTGGGAATTCTAGGAACGCCTGCCCCAACCCCCACCAATGTGGTTTTTTAAAACATTGGTTCAAATTGGTACTGTTTTGAAAGGTTCTGTCAGCCATCTTGATTCAAAATGGCAACCAAATGTATCCAAACATAGATGAGAACCAGCTCCTTGATCTGAAAAACAAATCTGGTTATGATAACTTAAGAGGCATGCAAATGCGTAGCAAACAAAACAAACTTTAAAAAAATATGTAGTAGATGTAATGTAATATATATGCACTTTGTATATGTGTAATCTCCCAGTCTGAATCTGTAGCAACGAAACAGCAGAGGGCTATAGCTGCTGCTGCTGCTGCTGCTGTTGGTGTTTAAATTTACATACTACCCTTCATCCGAAGATCTGAGGGCGGTTCACAAGATAAAAACACAAAATAAAAGCACAAAATAAATACAGTGGTAACGAGGAGTCGGACACGACTAAATGACTAAACAACAAACATCTTAGTTCTCAAACCTAATCCATTCTGGGAGTCCGTCCCACTCCCGAAACAGTTCGAAAACTAAGGCGCGGCTTCCAGTTGGCTGCAGGAATTTTCTGCACTCAAGCAGAAGTCGTGTCAGACGTTCGGCTTCCAAAAAACGTTTGCAAACCGGAACACTTACTTCTGGGCTTGCAGCGTTTGGGAGCCGATTTCTTTGACAACTAAGCCGTTCAAGAACCAAGGTACCACTGTAGTTAAAACAAAAACAAAACAATACCCCCCACACATTTACCTATCCATCACAATTATCTACAATATGAACTGTATTTATTTATTGCCACGAGGTTCTATAATTATGTGTAATGGATAATGCTGTCTCTTAACCAAGTTTGGTGTTTTTTCTTCTTCTGCTTGTGGCAAAAAGGGCAATCAATCAGATATGAACTCATTTCTTACAAGCACAATCTGCTAGCATCACTTACTTGGAAAAAGTTGCCCCACTATCCTCTAATCCAGGGGCAGACAACCTAAGGCCTGGGGGCCGGATGTGGCCCAATTGCCTTCTCAATCCGGCCCGCGGACTGTCTGGGAATCAGCGTGTTTTTACAAGAGTAGAATGTGTTATTTTATTTAAAATGCATCTCTGGGTTATTTGTGGGGCATAGGAATTCGTTCATCCCCCCCCCGATATAGTCCAGCCCCCCTCATGGTCTGAGGGACAGTGGACTGGCCCACAGCTGAAAAAGGTTGCTGACCCCTGCTCTAGTCAGAAGAGGGACTTAATCACAGAGGTGTTAAAGACAATTTAAAGGCTATTTAGAGCTTTAACTTTCAGTGAACAGCAAAACTGGTGCACCAAGCCAGCAATAGGATCAAATGCAGCCCAAGCAAGCCATACAAAATAAATGACCGTATTTTTCGCTCTATAAGACACACCAGACCACAAGACACACCTAGTTTTTGAAGGAGGAAAACAAGAAAAAAATATTCTGAATCCCAGAAGCCAGAACAGCAAGAGGGACCACTGCGTAGCAAAAGCAGTGATCCCTCTTGCTGTTCTGGCTTCTGGGATAGCTGCGCAGCCTGCATTTGCTCCATAAGACGCAAACACATTTCCCCTTACTTTTTAGGAGGGAAAAAGTGAGTCTTATAGAGCAAAAAATACGGTAAATGATGGACGTTATAAAGAATAGGCAGGGGGTAGATCTTTGTTTGCTCTGGCTGTTGCTTCTCAGTTCTTTCTCAGTGCCATAGAACTATACAGTGGTAATTCGGTTTACGAACTTAATCCATTCTGTAAGTCCATTCTTAAACTGAAACCGTTCTTAAACTGAGGCATGGTTTCCCTAATGAGGCCTCCTGCTGCTGGTGCCCTTCCACCATTTGGATTCTATTCTTAGACTGAGGTAAAGTTCTCAAACCAAGATACTATTTCCGGTTTTGTGGAGTTTGTAAACCAAATCATTCTTAAACTGGACTGTTCTTAAACCCAGGTACCACTGTAGATTCGTTGAATTGTAGAGTTAGAAAGGAACCATGAGGGTCATCTAGTCCAACTCCCTCTTTTGCCCAACATGGGGCTCGAATCCACAACCCTGGGTTCTGTCTCTATCTCTTTTTTCATATGCAGATTTTTGCATCACAATTTTCCCTCTGTAATGTATTTTTTTGCATGCTGTTCTCAAATGTTACTCCTGTACAGGAATTTACTGGAGAACTGCACTGCAAAATTCATGGAAGTGTGAATTTTGAATAATAGTTGTGTTTTGGTATGAATATTGTTTCGGAAAGTACGAATTTGTTAGGTTTACATTGAATTTCTCCTTTACCCCACCACCATAATGGCTGGTACTGGAGGAAGGAGTTCCTGCAAAAATGTGGACATTTTAGTAACCAGCATTTGCTTAGCTTTGCAAACTGAGTTTCCGCACCAGCCCAGCCCTCCTGGTGCCAATGGATTTCTGAGCAGCTGTTTCAAATAAAGCTCATTTAATTAATTGTAATCACTGATTAGTTCCATGAGGGAATGGATTAGAAGGTAGAGATACGGCATTGAAAAATAGTTACAAGAAAAACGGTGATATTAGAAATATTAAAGGCTTAAGGGAAGCTTTAAAACTTCACGTGCCCTTTGTGGGGAGTGAATTGGTGTGTGTGTGTATCTCAATATCTGCAGTGCATGTGAGAGAAGATATTGGCAGGGGAGTTGTACAGGCAATGCTACAGTCTCCCACCTGCTCTATAGTTAACACACACACACACAACACACACAC